ACTTTAAAATAATTAAGTTAATTTAAGTTTACTCGTATGAATTCATACACTCGTATGTTTTTCAGTAGTTGATTTGAATCATACCCACTATTTGCGATTAATGATTTTTTATCGAATGATATTTTGAAATTTTAAATGTTTGCAGAAATGTTTACACAGTTGGTCATTACAAACGTGAGTCGTCCTTGGCTGCGTCCAGTAGTCTCTGCCAGCCAGCATGTTCAGTGGTTTGCTGGTGGTAATTGGTAGTACTGATGCCCTTACTTATATCATAAGTGACCAATGATACAGTTCTTCCAACGAAGTTAAAAGCAGCCTGTACAGCGTTTTCCACACAGTGATAAAGTGCTGAATCATACTAGCTGAAGTATTTTCATTCATTCATACGATATGACAAAGCCAACGGAGCCATTAAATTTTTATACGCTTAACTATGTCGATGTCACAGTACAGCGCATACGGTTTATCATTCCATCTAATTTGATACTCGCGTACCAACGAAGAATAATCCGAAGAATTTTTTTTGTCTGATGCTCGTCGCTGTCTGTTATTGTCTAAACTTTATTTCTTACAATAGAGCAGGCATTAAAGGGGCTTGTAAAGCGTGAATTTTGATTGTTGATAGTAAGCTTATTTCTCATTTACCGACTTAGCCCAAATCAAAATCTCTTGACAGAAGTTATTATTTGCTGAATCTCTAGGCTGCTTTTTGTTTCTTTACACTGTTTCCCAGAAAAACAATACCTTCCACAACTTCAAATTTACAGTTGTCAATTATGATGTAAGTCACAAGACGTTCAGGAGATTGGTGATGTCATGAGAGGGACAGCGTTCATTTTCTTGTTAATACTGTTCACAGAACAGATTCATTGGTATCATGATACTTATCTTTCGTTGGGATATGTACAGATATTAATCTAAAGTAGAAAAATTTAGCATAAATAAGAATGAATTATAGTCATTCTTTAATTGATACATCTAAGCTTAAGCCTAAATATCCGACTCTGAAGTCTTGTTGTTGTGTTGCATGGCAGCTATAATCTATTATATAATTCGCTCTTTTCACTTAACCTTGTCCCATCGCTTGCATTTCCTGAATAACAGCAATGTCAGGCTAATATATCTTGTGAACATTGAAGCTAAGTAGATGCATTTTCTCTATGAAGCGTTCGGACATTCTAGGTGCAATTTTAAATCAAGTTTCTTATAACGTTTGTGTGGGTAATTAACAATATGGGGTGCCCTAAACCGAGGCTTGCTTCCTTTTTCTTTTCCTTTCAAGGATGTTTTATATAGTGGGATGCAGGACCTTCGCATAACTCAATACACTCATGAGAGAGGTTTCACTATATTCAGGTTATTACGCACGGACTATTAAAGCTATCTAGAAGCAGCTCGTGGAGATTGTGTAACAGCTATGAGAGAGCAGTAACAAAAATCATGCGAGCATTTACTATATAAAATATAATCAGACTGTTACTATGATAATCTCACAGTATTGAACTATAGACCGAAAAGTATGCATATTTTCAACATATCTTTTTTCTACATTGACTGATATTTTTATATTATAAAAAAATTCCTATTTGTAATCATAAAGCAAGTGCCCTTAAAAGCCTCAAAGTTAAGGATATGAAAAGATGGAAACTAATTGCACTTTAAAAAAAAACCAAAAAATAAAAAATTATCTTACTTTCAATGTTACAAATAATATTATTGTGATTATTGTTTTTAGATATAAATATAATTTCCATCCAAAGGTTACGAATATTCATTGCTAGAATTATAATTTTTACTTATAATTTTTTTGTCACAGGCGAATTGATTGTTATTAATCACAAAACAGGCAGAGATTGTCACGATGTCTCTCACAATCAGGTTCTACAATACAGCGTGGATCACGTTTAATGCGTAATATGCTACTTTGAAGAGAGAAAACAATTTGGCTGGAAAGCACATCAGCGCAAAATATTATAGTGCCCTCATAATCCTCAGGTTCTTTGGCGTATTTTAAAATACCTTGCGTTACTTCTGTGACAAGAAAATTTTCATCCACATCTATTAGGTGTATATAAAAATGAAAGGTTAAAACTGACTACATAACATAATGGCTTTTAAAAATATCTTACTAATCAAGTCTCGACGAACGTCATAAATTTTCCCCTCTAAGTGTACCCTAACGGCATTAAATACTCTATTATCCATTGTGACGATCAATTCTCTCATAAATTTAACAAGCATATGTTCAATGTAAATGATTTCGTTACGTGACAAGTGTGATAAATTCATTCGTTTTTTAATGTCTTCATCGGAACCAAGTGCAATCGACGCTAATGAACCCTATTTAATATAAGTGAATATGTAATTTATAGTCTTTCATAAATTAGATGATAATAATAACATAGATGAACATAATAACATACTGCAGGTGTTGGTGTTCTCAGTGATGATCGTTTTATATTTTGACATGGATGAGGTTCATAGCTTGATGTTCCAATCGTTAGGAGTGTTTCTTCAAATCCTACACATTTCGATGCCAATGAACGACGTTCAGGTGTCTTTTCTTCACCATTACAACGTCGGTATTCTGTTCGGTTTTCATTACGTCGAAGTGAAGCATATAATCTAATTGCTCTCTGTAAAAATTATAATTCTTATATAAACAAAAATATGAAAAGCTTAATTAGAATTCATACACTAGAAACTATTAATTTCGCTTCTTGAATATATTTTTGGATTTGATCTGAAACAGCTTTATATGCCTTCTTATCATCACTTAAATCTTTGTCAAAAGTATTTATAATTTCTCGTAAGACATATTCAGCTGCTTTATATGCTGGATCATCGTTACTTAGTGGAATTGCTTTTTTAGTTTCCATATCAAGTACAAGATTTAGTGTTAAAGCTAAATTTGAGTCAATAATTTGTTGGGAAACTTTGTTCGGTTGGTCTTGACAGGGGGGCTTTTCTTCTGCCACTTTTTGTACTTTCTTCTTCTTCTTCTTTTTCCTCTTCCTTTTTTTCTTTGTCATTCCAAACAATTTTTCCATAAGTTTTTTGTTTCGTTTTTCAGCTGCTAGCTTCATTTTAACTTGGTCCCTAGTCCATTTTTCTCTACACTTGTCCATATGAATCTATTAAATTTTAATACATAACATTAGATATTATTATTAAAAAATAAATTTGATGACTATTTAACACTGTATGATCAGTAATTTTGCCAGAGTTTCGCCGAGGGACTTGATCTACATCACAATTTTTATGCGCATTGTACATATAGTAAATATGATATATGTATTTTAACTATATACAAATGCGTACTGCTAATGTTGAAAATAATTACATATAAAATGAGTAAATTAGCTTTGAGTTAGAGATTGTTTTTATTTTGTGTTAGTACAGTACATCTGTACATTCAAAGGCATATTTTACTTCATTAAATTAAATTAAAAAAATTTAAATAATTAACCGCATATGGTTATCATAATAATATATTAAGTAAAAAATACAACTTTTAGTTACAATAAAAAAAATAGGACAATGTTAATACTTCTATAATTTTATGCAATAATTTTGAGATTTTTTTATTTGTTTTAATGAATCCTGCTCTTAACTTACTTTTTTCTCATCTTACTTATATAGGTCCTAATATAATATATGTGTATGTGCATTGAATGAAATTGTAAATTATTACTTAATCATAACTGCAATGATTCATTTTATGAAAGGAGCTCATAAAAAAAATTTTAACCAAATCGGAGATCATGAGTTCAAAAAGGTGTCCGAGTTGTAAAAGAATGACCCAATATGACAACAATGACAACAATATTTTTAAAAAAAATTTGTGATAAACAAGCGGAACGAAATGACATCAAAAAATTTTGCAATTACACGAGCAATAATATTCAAAAGTAAAAACAGATATTGGGGTTATGGCTCTCACAAAATATGAATGTTAAAGCCCAAATGAATTTTTAATGATGGGGTGGTGGAGTACTCGTAGCATGACAAAGATTGGAATCAGTGACTTGTAAATTGTTCTTCTTCTAGATGGAAAAATAACAACAGTCAGGAATCTCATCGGCTTAATGGGTTGAGAACACATTTAAAACCACTTGGCGTATTGAGAAAACCCTAAGGAGTGCAGAATACTTGTAAAAGGTATAGTGTACTATAGTTATTAATCTAGGTAAAAGAATAATAAGAAGAAAATTGAAGAAAGAGAGGAAAAAAAAAACATACGAAAAATGCAGTCATTATATTTTCTAACACATATATATTATGTATTTAGTTCTTAGAAAACATTGCCGTCGAGATTTATATACTCGATTTACAAAAAGTTGGAATTTTAGGACAGATAACGTGGACTACATAAATGTCGGTTTGGAGTAAACTATATATATTTAAATTCTTTTACGCTTGCAAATTAGATTAAAAATTGCAAATGTAATAGTTGTGCAGAAGCGAAGAAAATATGGAACACGTTCTATATAAATATAAAGCTTATTCTAAGCCAAGTAATAAAATATTTAGTACATTATGTATAAAACAAAATAACAAATATCGACATTCATATTACATTAAGATAATTTGTCAACGACAACAAGTGGCTAAGCTTAGAAAGAGGGTTTCTTTAGGAGCATATAGCAATGCACTGGATATTGTAGTTTAAATGAAGAGAATATACAACTAATGTGTCCACCTAACCGAATCTATAAGTCATTGCTCAAGACTATAATTTGTTGGTGAAACAATTTTATAAATATATTATTGGATCTCTAGTATCACCTTACCTTTCAATTCCATTACATTAAAACTAACGACCGTTATTCAAATATACGAACCTTTATAAATGCAGCTTTTTTAGCAGCCAAAGCTAAAGTTCTAACTTTGAGTTCCTCCTGTTGCTCAAATCGCTGCTTTAAACGGAGTTCCCATGATTTTTCATTTTTAGCATCTGCAATTTTTTGTAATTTAGCTTTTCGTCTACTAATATTTAACTTCAAACGTATTTCTTTATCCTTTAAATGACTTTTTAGCTTATTTAATCGTTTTCTGAATATATCATAACGAATTTCCTTAATACGTTCCATTTTCAGAAACTTAAGAAGTTTTTGGTGTTCCATGGCTTCTTTTTCCAAGCGACGCTGTTTCTCTATTCTCTTTAAACGTTTCAAAACATCACTCCATAAATTTACAAAACGTTTCTCACGCACATCTATATGAACACTTTTACGTGTGTTAATTTCAGTATATCCATGCATTCGGGCCTCAAGATTTATATAATCATGTTTAGTAATGGATTCGGCACATTCAATTAGTTTCTTATCACGATCATCACTATCCTATTTGTGGTTCAAAAATTGGTAATACAAATAAAATTCAAATAGTTAAGTTTAGTTAAATTCTACAGATTTTTACATACATGGGTACTAATTCGAGCATTTTTATAACCTGAACAAACTTTATAGAGTAGCATTCGGTATTGATTGAAATCCCTTAAACTACAGATCACATCGTTATCTTGAGTAATTTCACCATTTTGACGTAAACGCTGGAAAATTTATTATAATAAATTATAATAATAATATGATCATAATAATAATATGATAATATTAAAGTTATATCTAGACATACTATCAAATTTCGTTCATTTGAGTAAAAGTTTTTTAAATGGGGATCATGAAGAGAATTATACTCTAATTTGGTAAAATCGATTGACATATCAAACTCTGGCCGTATAAGTGAATTTTGATTTTCTCTATAACAATTCTGTAAACAAGATTTTTATGCTTTATGTGCTAAAAGTTATTTAGTTTTATATACTCACATATGTTAACGTTTTGCCAATCTTTGTTTTTGTAAAGATAACTTGATTTTGGGGACATCTCAGCATAGGTAATTTAGAATTCAGTGGTATATTTTCCCAACCTGGGAGACTATTAAGCGGTAAACCAGGACCAAAAGCAGAGTTGGATGGTTTAAACAACTTGGGTTTGTTTGGTTTCGTTACCAACATGATTTTAATAAACTGTAATTAAATGAAAATTAAATAAAAATATCAATAAAACATATCATCCACTTATGTTTTTAAGAAGTAACGGTACATAATCAGTAATTTAAAAATTTTAAATTTTGTTTCGTCTTATCTTGTGTTTCTGATTTATAATCTTCAAATCACAGAGATGTATCACCAAATACTCAAAATCATTTGCTTTTGAAAATATCTTTTGGTTTTATAAGTTCATATATAATTGTTGGTCTATACGTACTATTCTTCCAATTTTGAACTTGTCAAATAAGAAGTAATTTCTTCGCGGCTTTTTATCAAACGCTCCAAAGTGTCTCAAAACTTTTGTTGTTCAAATTTCAAGTATTTTGTTATTTTTTTTGATATCTTAGAATATAATAATTAATTCACTTTTTAATAAGAATTATATTCTGTGTGGCCAAATAGGCGTACTAATATTAGTAATATAAGCTAGTGATACTTAACTTTTTAGGTGTGCCACATGAAGACTATGTGACAAAGTGAATTGAGCGCGATAAGGATTTTCCTAATAACATTTAACCGTTTTAATAATATTCAAGAGCAAAGTGCATTTCAGATCAAACTAAAATATTTGGTGATGTATCTGTGAATACCATGAATAAAAACAATGTATGCACTAAGGCATCATCTAGTAGTATGAAACTTATTAATATTAATAAAACCTCCAAAAAGGCTAAAAATTACAACGAACAAAATATTCAAAGCCTCAGGATTTGTTGATGCAAATAATGATATTGAAAAAATAAAGGTTGTGTTTGTAACTTATAAAACTGACATTGTTAAAACTAGGACCATCATTTTATTTCTGTTATATGGTAGAAAAATCTAACCAGTCAAATTTTGTGATTTAAAATAAAGTTGGTTAAGAATTTGGAAAATAATCAATTTTAGGAATTAAACTTCACATAAATAACGGAAAAATTACTAAATTGTTGGAATCTAGATATATAAAAACATAAAAGATGGACATTTTTAAATCCACTTACTTTCCATTTAAAAATGTTAGGAACTATTGTGTACAGATTACAGTCATATATTTCGTGGGATTAACAGAAATAGATAACATGGCAAAGGATTTAGTTATTTACTTACACGTTGTAAGTTAATTCATACTATGATCTCTCTTATTTGGTTGCCTTGCTGAGCTCTTTACAAAACGTTGGAAAGCTGGAAAATATGAGAAAAAAATATTCAAGAAATTAATAGAGTATTTTAGAATAAATAGATTTTTATCTCTTATTACAGTATAAGTAGTCAATATCGCCAAAATTTTTGTAATAATTTATTCAAATAAAGAAATTTTATAATGAAATCAAATATCTTAAAAAAATTCTCAGATATTAATACAAGCACAATTAATAATGTTAACTATTTAAAAAAAAATGTACATTTTATATATTTTAAAATTTTTCTAACAAAAGATGACTTGATTAAAAAAAATTTTATTTTAAAATCAACTTTTTTTTAACTTCATATATATATAGTATAAAAACAGTATAGTAACTTCATTTGTACATTTGAACATTCGGATACTATGTAATATTAATGGGTTAATATAAATGTATAAGTTTAGTCAATATATATTTACTCTTCTCGATTCAAAACCATCAAATATCCATTAAAATTGACTATTTGGTGCGGTTTACACGTTAGTAACATCATCGGTCCTTATTTCTTTCGAAATGAGTAAGGAGCTGCCGTTAAGCTGACTGGTGAGCGCTATTGAACCATACTGTCAGCAATTTCTAAAAATGAATCACTTAAACATCAACGACATTTTGTTCCAACACACGCAAGATGGCGTAACTTGTCATACAGCGTGCTTAACAATCAATTTATTGCGATATTATTGGTAACAACTTTATTATCAGAAGGGATCCTGTTAACTGGCCTGTTAACCCCTCGTTCGTGCGATTTAACGCCGCTCGATCACTTTTTATGGGATTATGTTAAGTCCTTGGTTTATGCCGACAAATCAGCAACTCTTAAAGCATTGAAACCTATGTGGAATGTTCATGCCATCATTGACACCACATTTATTGCAAACAGTAGTCAAAAATTGAACTGATCGAATCGATTATGTGTTTCGTAGTCGCGGCGGATACAAATATATGCCGGAAATCATATTTAAAAAATAAATACCATGAAATTATCTACCAGATTATAATAAAAAAAATTTAATTCCAACAATTTTTCTGCCCTATATTATCATTTTAAGTTTTGATGCAGTAAAAAAAACGTTATATAAATTTTATTTTAGTGCATCTTTTATCGCAAACTTTAACTCCGATTTTTGTTAAAAAATAAATTATTTTTTTATCTAAAAACTAGCACAATTCTTGATTTTTAATTTGGAATATGAAAAACGTAGTAATATTTAACTGAAATTTTTTTTATTATAATAGTTAATTTATACTAATTAATTAGTATTAATATTAAATATTATTAGTTAATTAATAATAGTTAATAAAGTCTTCGCTTTGCGTAGCAGTCGCATAGATTCTTCACAAGTCATATAAACTTCTACAAATATTTCAAAACAAATAAATACTGTTTATTGATACATTTTATCGCATAGTATCTGAATTTTTGAATGTAATTTACAATGAAATTAGTTGAATTGTTTTTACTGAAACTTTAAAGTTTCGAATTGTTTCTATTTATTTGTATTTTATTTCATTTCGAATTAAATATAATTTAATGGATGCATTAATGTTCATCAAAATATTAATAGTCTTCAACTGTTTTATCTAAAGTATTCCATGTATCAATTCCATATATTACAGAGATAACAAGCTTTCACAGTTAATAATCACTTGCATCATTTATTGTCAAAGATATATCGTATTTTGAGGCATGTAAATAATTATAAAATCGAATCGTGTTCTTTTTTTACCATAGCTCTGAAAAGCAGTTTCTCAGAGCCACATTATGCAGAAAGTCATGAGTTGGTCAAAATTGGCTCTTTTGGGTTATGAAGAAAATGCATGTTATGCAAAGTGCCATAGAAATTGTAATAATTTGCTTCTAAAAGACAAAAATGTTGATATTTATTACTGAACAACACTGCTTTGACAAGTAACGAGGAACAAATAGTCTCGTCTCTCATGAACCGACATTTTGTTTTTTCTCTCACTCTCACAATTTTATAATTTGCATTCGAAACAACAACAATTTCGATTTTGACGAGCTTATGACTTTCTGTATAATATGAGCCTTATAAGGAGAATTTGTTAACACTATAATTATAGGATAATTAATTGTACAGCAGCATAGTTGTGAATCGGCGTTTTTCCTAAGAGTATTTTACATTATGACTCGAGACTTATTATGTATTAAAAGTTAATTTATAGTGCATTGACAATAGTTTTTTTCTAAAAAATTTAAAAAAAGGAAAATTACATTGTTTTATAATTTTTAAAAGAAATCTATAAAATACTTGAAAACTAGAAGATTATATGTCAGTAACAAATTGACTGTAATTGTATTGATGTGGGAGAAGTTATATTCTAGTAGTTATATCAAATATAACATATTGCTTAGATGTAAAATCAGTAAGGATGTTACTAAACTATCTTATGGGCATTGTGATCTTTCAATTGTTTTATATATTATTTATGGCAAGAGATAACTTGAACTTTTTAATTAATATGACTAGAAATGTGTTGCATGTATATCCTATTTATTTATTTATTTTTTTATATTAAATTTTTTATTTAATTTTAAATCTAACCTTGTTTGAGATTAAATTTTCAGGTGCAAACGTATACTATAGGTTGATTTTAATCCTTCCAATTTGGTACTTTATCACTACCTTTTGTGGTAGAATATTTCAATAAAGTAAAGAAATAAAAAATGCAACAAATACTTTATTGTTTCTATTTTGCCTTTTCAATACTAATATTTGCTATAAAAAAGTAAATCCCGAAGTATGTAATTTGTATTAATATAACATTTGGATATTCATTAATAAAAAATAAAAATGGTTAAGGAAAAAACTAAATTTATTCTCAATACAAATGAAAACACTGTCCGAAGCACTGTCGGTTGCATCGTTAACATTTGCTTCGATTTTCATCGAGTGGAAGCCATCCCATTTTTCGCAAGTGCTCTAAATGATGAAAAATGCTTGGCTATTTGGGCAACTGGGCAAACGTAAATTTTATCACAAGCAACGTTTTATCTTTATTACTTGTTCTTCAGGATAACAAAGTGTTAAAGAAAAAGGACCTAACAATAAATCTTATTTTTCAGCATTAAATATCTAAACTAAAGCAGAAAGTATGCGAAATGTTACGGTCGACACTGAACTGAATTTCAGTAAAAGATATATACGTACACGGAATGTAATTTCTCACCGGGCATTACTCAATGTATCTTAATAAGCTCAGTAGTTTGAAGCTCTTTTTAAGTTTTGGAAAGATTTAGTAAAGGTGAAAATGTACGAAGAAAAGTGTAAGATATTGTTTTTTATAATACACAACAATGTTAACATGGTAGGTGGGAATTTTTAAATTAGAGATATTAGTTAGTAGTTTATTAACTATGAATTTAATTTGATGAAAAGTAAAAAAAATATTTTTTTATTTGCTTTAGATAGGATTACTAGCACAACTCTAATATTTAACATAAAAAAGCCAAATATATCAAAATATATATTTTTAATATAGAAAAGACGTAACAATAATAAATTACAATAACACGATTTTATTA